AGGCGACTATTTTCCCACCCGGGAGGAATACTCTCCCTACCCTGCTAGGTAGGTATTTCGCAAAACCTAAAAATTTTGCTCCAATTATTTTTGTAATCTTCTAAGGTTTCGATTTACTCTTGACAGAATGCATTTATTGTTGGTTTCAATCTTTAATTCATAGCCTTAAGATTTGTCAGAGTACTTGGTACACACTATTGTTGGATACATAGCTTTAATGTTGGTTAAGTGTTTTGAGTTGCTTATCCAAGAGACTGTACTTTTACGATTTTCTCTTTTTTTTTTTTTTTCTCTTCATTACCTTTGCAAGGCATTATCTTTGCTTCTTAACACCGTTAACATGGTTGACTTTGTTAGGATCTACTCATCGATCTACTGTTTTCATTTACGTGGTTGACTCGATGACTGTCGGCTGCATCAAGAAAGAGGACTTGGGAGGAGACTGGTGACTGGACATGCTTGGTTATACATTCTGATTGATTAAACTTTTTACTTCTTGTTAACTGTTTCTTTGCTGCTTGGAGTTACAGTAAAGAAAGATAAGCAAATATTCGCCTCATGTCTTTAATACAATTTAGATTATTCAGTCACAAAGGTTAGAATAATTGCAGTGATCAGCATGCCGATTGCACGCCCCCCTCTAAAATTTGCATCATCTGTGTCATTTTGCTATTTGATAAAAATGCACATTTTAGAGTGGCCTTTTATTGTGGCCAGCTTAAGGCACACCTGTGCAATAATCATACTGTCTAATCAGCATTTTGATATGCCACACCTGTTAGGTGGATGGATTATATCGGGAAAGGAGAAGTGCACACTAACACAGATTTAGACAGATTTGTGAACAATATTTGAGAGAAATAGGCCTTTTGTGTACATAGAAAAAAATCTTAGATCTTTGAGTTCAGCTCATGAAAAGTGGGGGTAAAAACAAAAGTGTTGTGTTTATAATTTTGTTCAGTGTATGTAGAGAGAGAAGAAAATTACATTGCATAGTGTGCCAGAATAATATAAGTGAAGATATAGATAACCTACTTACATTTACTAGAGCATGGATTTGATCTATGTATATAGATACAGGTAAAAGGGAAACTATAGTGCTAGGAATATGAAGTTGTATTCCTAGCACTATAGTGCCCCCCCTCCACTGTGGCGTTGAAAGAGTTAAAAAAAAACTTTTGTCATTTATCTGATTCCAGCGCTGTGTCAGGCGCCACCTGCACTCCTCCTCTGCTGTTGATTCCTGGTGTTTTTAAAGGGACACTCCAGGCACCCAGACTACTTCTGCCCATTGGAGTGGTCTGGGTGTCAACTCCCACTACCCTTAACCCTGCAAGTTTAATTATTGCAGTTTTTTATAAACTGCAATAATTACCTTGCAGGGCTAACTCCACCAGCCACTAGAGGGCACTTCCATGTCCATAGCACAAGAAACCTGTGCTAGAGCATCGCTGGACATCCTCATGCTGTGTGAGCACCTCCAGCGTCGCTCAACTCCCCAAAGGAAATCATTGAAAAGGATTTTCAATGCTTTCCTATGGAAAGCTCTAATGCGCGTGTGCGGCAATTAGGTTTCCTCAGCCGGCGGGCGGGATCAGTCTCGCCCACCAGCTGACGTAATCACTGGGAGGAACGGCGGCGACCCGAAACCACCGCCGAGAGACATCGGCGGGGTCTCAGGTAAGTGACGTTTTCACCCCTTCAGCTAGCGGGGGATGGGGGTGGGAGGGAGAGGGGGCCTGCAGTGCCAGGAAAACGGACTGTTTTCCTGGCACTGGAGAGTCCCTTTACGCATCACTCGTGTCTCTGGCGTTTTTTTGGCTAACGTTGATGATGTGTTTCTAGCAGTTCGCAGTTCCAAAAGTGAAAAATCAGTAAGAGTCAATAGCATCTTCTCAACAATCACAAATGACATATTTCCGACAGTTTAGACTCTGGAAATGACATGTCGGCATAAGTCCATAGCAGAATGGCAGAGTACCACCGTTTAAAAAAAAAAAAAAAAAAATTTGATATCAATATGGACAGAGGTAAAAGTAAGGGCAGTATCCAAGTAACCCAAATAATCAGGGTGGACTCCAGGGGATTTTCATGAAAACAACGGTTACTTTTATTGCATATAAGCAAAAATACACAAGGTCCAGATCGACGCTTTGACCTCTTCGAATTGTCAATCAGGAACTTGTGTATTTTTGCTTATATGCAATAAAAGTTTTCACGAAAATCCCCTGGAGTGCACCCTCATTATTTGGATTATCTACTTTATGCGAATAGCACTTGGGTAAAAAAGTTTCTCTTTATACTTTAAAGGTGAGTGTCAAGCCTTTGTTATATGTTTATATATAAATAACTGTAAATATCGATTAGTAAACACTAAAAATCAAAAAAAGGAAAATCACGTTAAAAAAAAGAAAAAAGTGGACAAGGCTTCACTGATAGAAATGGGTAAACAATTTCCTACCAGTTGTAATAATAATTTTGATAGATACATATTTTAAATTTAAAAAGCTCAAATTCAGCATTTCAGCTAATTCAAGAGGTTTAAGAAAGTATAAATATAATGTAAAGATAAAAACAATGTTACCTAATGTGTCATACTTATATTTCCATCAGCTGGCTGTTTTCTTCTTATAATTTCAAAACTGTCTTTAATACTGTCTTTAAGTATTAAACAAATTTATTGTCTGACGTTGTCCTGGTGTGCTTATTTCATGTATCATTTCACTTAATTGTAAATTTAAAAGTTCAATTAAAGTATTCATTTTGTTTGCTTGTGTATTTTTCAGGCCTGGATGTAGCATGTCAGAGATATGGGATATTGAAGATCCTTCTAATGCTGGCAAAACTCCCCTGTGTTCAATTTTGGCACATGAAACATTAGCACAGTTTCACACCTCATTTCAGAACAATGTTTACAAAGTTTTAAAACTTTCCGAAGACTGAAAACCTTTGAGTAAAGAAAAATGGTTATCAAATATCTTAAACTTCATTCTACATTTTCAGAAAAATAAGATAATTTGATTTTATCACAGTTATAATTTCTTCTCCAGATATTTTAAATAGGAAATTTTCTAAGATATAAAATACTATGCAATTCTTTATTGCTAACAATATTATTTGAAAGTAATTAAAAGCATTCTATATCATAAAGCCAGTTACAGTTTTTTGTTTTGTTTTTTAAAAACATACTGCCTTAAGCTAATTGTTATTGGCAGAATTTTCTATTCTAAAAGTGATATGCGTTTGAATTTAGTACCAAAGAGAACAAAAGTGTGTATATATTTATCTAATGGAAGTGGTATTAAAATCCAAATTTGTATTATTTGTGTTTTGGATTTAAACACATAGGATGGTTATGTAGCAAACTTTACTCCGAGGCATTATTCCTAGTATTTTTGTGAAATTCCGTGACCTTGCAAATTCAACAACCTCACAAGTTAAAATGATTTTAAATGATTTCTTTTTATTTTTTTTAGAAAGCAACGATATGTTAATTGTCTGTGTTTTTATTATTCTTATTTGCTCTCAGAAATTAATGTTTTTAAATGTTTTAGCTTTCATTCAATATCCAACATCCTATGAACTATTACAACCAGTGTTTAAGGTGCAACACATTTTTAGGTACTGCAGAATTACTCTAGTAGAATATTTGTTTTGCTGCTATTCCACTTATTTTACATTAATTAACCAATTCTGCACATTAACCAGCAATGTGTTTCCTCAATATGCCCCAGTGACAGTGTTTTGAAAGATAAATAAAAACCAGCATATCCCTCTTTACTTGAGGCATGATTAGGGCAATAGTTTGTTGAAGCCCATTGTACTTTGCTATAATTAATGTATTTGAAACCTTTGGAAAGCTTCTGAGCTAATTTATTATCATTTGAGTCCACCCTATATGCCAAGGAGGCAAATTCACAATTGTTCTATTGTTGTAGTGGTATGTTTATTTTTATATTTTTGTAGTACCAACTAGCTATTCAATTTGGCACCACTAATCCATTCTTATCTAATGTAGCATATCAGTTATAGAGCCAAACCTGTTTCTTATGTTCCTACTTTATGTATCCACTCCAGTTATCTATATTTCTAATTTTTATGACTTTGAATATGAAACATGATGTAAGGGAAACGGATTTGCTTTTCACATTGGCTATTTTTTTCTTTGCTTTGTATATTTTGTGTTTAACATACAGTATATATATTGTTGCTCCAATATGAGCAATTTAAATGTTTATAGTTTGCCTGAAGTATATGCAAATAATGTTTTCCTTCCTTCCTGGAATCACTAGTTTTGGCCTTCAGAATGTAAGATCAGAAATATTTGATTGTTTTTTTCTTTTTTGAAAGCTATATTTACTGTTGTCTTTTATTGCATTTTCCTGTTGTATATTCTAAAATGTAATTTGCATATAGGAACATATTTACTATATCAGTTTATGTCCTTTTAGTTATTTATAGTTAAAACATTGTTTTTGTGAGGTATTAATATTAAATATTTTAGATTAAAATATCTCTTGAGTCACTCTTTATTATGTGATAACATTTTAATTTTTTTGCACTTTTAGTTTTCTGTTGCTTCTGCAACTCCTCATTTTAACAATTTAGTAAAAGAGTAGTTGGCAAGTAGTAGTATGTTTTCTTTTTTCAAACAGAATTGCAGTGTAAATGTATACATGACACAAAATCTGATCAGTGTCTTAGTTGCCAAGCAGGACTGCAAATGAATGTCCCTTTGGGGAACTTACTCTCCTTTAACAGTGAACATATTAGTTTTGTTATTTTGGCCAGTAAAGTATCCTGATTGTTGAGAGTGTACAACTTTTCTGAAATGTTTGAGTGCTTGCGTTGCATATGCATAAATATAATTGTACACCATTACATTTTTATGTTTGAAAGTTGTACTCCTATCTAAAATATCAAAATGAATCTATATTAAAAAAATTTCATAAGCTTTCAAAGAAATATATTGCTTGCTTCATATTTTCAATAACTGGTGTATTTTATTTCATCTAACTTATATTTAAAATGTATATTTTGCCGTACCAGAACAGTGACCAAAAACTGTCCCTGGAAGAAAAGTGAATGTCCAGTCATGTCATTATTTTGAGATAGCTGTATATGTATAGCTTGTGATATATGATTCTGACTGCTTTTGGAATAGCCATTTATCCACCATTTCTTGGCTATGATTTATTTATTATTGTTTATTCTTAACTATGATTTATCTCACAGTGTGTTGCAAGCTGGTAGATGCTGCTATTTGTGTGTCTGCACTTCAAGTCTGCTAGCTCACTCAGAGTGATCATGAGTAAAAACAGAGACTTGGAGTGTGTTGAAAATGCTTGTCCTCCCTCTAATGTCCCTTTTCTCCATAATGGATAACCCGTTGATCTCTTGATAAATCATACATTAAAAGAATAACATTGAACCTTATACAGTAACTTTAACTTCCAAAACCCACTCTGGCTCCCTATAAGAATTGTGTAAAAAAAAAAAAAAAAAAAAAAATCAGCATAATTGAATCTGGTTTTTTTTTTTTTTGATGAGGTGAATACTACACAGGTATTGCTGAGAAAAAGAGAAATACTCTATCCAATCTGAAATTCCGAACAAAACACACACGTGCGTTTTACTCTTAAACGGTGACTACAGAGATAAAAGTTCCTCAAAATAACTGCCTCACTGTTAAATTCTCTGCCAGTTAGGAGTTAAATCACTTTGTTTATACAGCATTAATCACACCTACCAGCAAATGACTTGCACAGTCATCCTAAACACTTCCTGTAAAGAGACATCTAATGTTTAAACTTCCTTTATTGCACATTATGTTTAATTTAGTGCATCGTATAACCTGATATGTTATAATAGCCTTCTAGGCAGTGTGGGTGCCTACTGCATGTGATTAAAGTTTAATTTATAGTGCAAGAGATAAATACATCTAAAGCAAGTTAATCTGATTTGAAATTAAGCTTTTTTTTTTTTTCATGCCAACTGTGTGAGTCACAGCCTGGGAAGGTATGGCTAGAGCTACATAAACCAAAACAAAAGTGATTTAACTCCCTAATGGCAGAGGATTAAGCAGTGAGACTGCAGAGGCATGATCTATACCAGGCCTGAACAACCTGCACTTTTGAACTACAACTCCCATAATTCCCTTGCCAACTGTTTAATTTAAAAAAACATGGGCATTGGCTATCTGTTCATTAAATGAATCACGGGTGTTGCAGTTCAAAAACATCCGGGGGTCCGGATAAAACTGCTTTATTAACCCCTTCAGGACAAAGGTAATTGTTCTGAACAAAAAGAAAACTTAGAGTTTGAGCTATATGTTTGTTCTACCATAATTACCTCTTTAATATTAAGTGCACCCACAATTATATATAATTTTGTTCAGGAAATATAGTGTTACTATGCAGTTTCTCAGGATTATTTGCAGTACCTGATTATATGCGGAGAGAGAATCAATTGCAGGAGATCTTTGATCGTTTCGTTAAAAGAAGTTATGATAGGAATTTTCTCTTACAAGCAGTCTCTCAATTTTGTCACAACATGGATACCTTACAGTCATCACAGATTGGGGTCGACCTTTTTTAATGACCACAAATATAATGACAGGGTGATTTGTGTATAAACCTTTAACATTAGCTCTCCAACTTTGAAAAAGCTCCTTAAGACACACTGGTCTCTATATTCTAAGAGTTATTATTTAAACCCTTCCAGCACCATTCCACAACACTCCACTTGTAGGGTATACTAGAACAGCAAACTTGAGAGACTTTAGTCCACATTGATCAAAACCAACAATGCTATCAATCCTTGGTGTTTTAAATGCCTCCGGTGTGTCACGTGTGGAAATATGCACTAATGTAAATCCTTTAGTCACACACTTGTACAATAAACTATGCTATTTTCAAAATCACTTATCCTTGTAATTTATCACACGTGAGTAAAACCATGAATGAACTGAGAGGCCTTAGAACGTCTATCAGGACGGCACTGTGCAATAAATTCGCAGATAAACCTGTGGCTCGTCATGTTTTGCAAATGTGACATTCCCTACCATAATAGAAATTATTTGGAATTAACTACATCCTGAGACCACCAGGTGGGAGTGATCATGATATGGAACGTCAAAATGGCACACTGGGGTTTGATTTAAAAAAAACCTACATTGCCCACTTTGTTACCTCCTTATCGTTAATTATTTTTTGTTACATATAGTGAAATTTCCATGATTGCGATTGACATGTATTTAGGTCACCCTTTGAGGAAATACTCTCTAAGGTTTTTCTAACATGGCATTCACTCTCACTCTGGTGTACATGTACCTATTGATAGCATATTTAAACACTGCATTCAATTGCTGCACTTTGTCTTGAAAATGTCCTGTTAAGAGGACTGAAACATTGATTGTATCTTTGCCATTTTACCTGCTTTTCATAATATATCAGATGTTATCACATTACGAAGACCTAAGAATGCTCTCTATCAAGTTACCTATTCAGTTGGCTGGAGTTTATCATCGAAGTGGAAAAATAATTTGGGAGACGTCACTCAAGTTGTTTGTGTGTATGTATGTATATGTAATATAATGTATGTATAAATAGATAAGTATATGATTTTAATCGAAGTGTCAACTCGCTGGGTTGGCAAGAACAGGCAATATTGCCAACCCAGCGAGTTGACACAGCAATCACATGACTAATTGTCTGGATTGGGTCTAGGGGGACTGCCTGGATTTCAGGCAGGCCCCTAATATCATTAAACGTCCCCCAATCGCAATCAGAGCACAGGATAAGTATCCGGGCTGCAGGGAGGGCATGCTTACAGATCAGGGAAGTGAGGCATTGGGGGGGACAGAGATAGCCTGCAGCAGAAAGGTAAAGGAGTAGAAGGAGAGAAGACCGTGTCAGAAGAAAAAGAAGACTGTGTCAATTGAAGGAGAAGAAAAGGAGATTGGCGCAGGAAGGACAAGTGAAGTGAATCTTCCACTTTATTCTGGACACCACATCATAAGGCTTTGGTACCTGGGCCTGGCAGGGAAACTTTGGACCTTCTCATCTCCCCAGGTAAAAAAAAAAATGTCAGTGTTAATGTGTTCACTTTTATTTACTGAGTGTCAGGAAGCACAGAGTACAGCTGGGAAGTGGTGTCGCTGATTGGCTAGAGTTGTCAGCTGGCACTCTAAGCCAATCAGTAGCTCCCCATTCATAAAAAAGTAAAACCTTTTTATGAACCGGGAACTAGCGATTGGCTTTGAGCGTGAACTGACCACTCTAGCCAATCTGTAGCACCCATGCCTGACATCAATCTGCACTTCCTGACATTCCGTTTTGGAAGCCAAATACCACTGAGCGACCTGGAAATCTGGAGCTGGAGGAAGCCATTTGAGAGCCGTTTAACCCCTTAAAAGAAAGATAGCACCCAGGGGCTTCCTGGCATCATAGTATTTTAATTTAGACCAGATATGGTTATGGTGACCAGATTGTTCCTTTAATTTGCTTAAAGGAACACTGTAGTGTCAGGAATACAAACATGTATTCGACACCATAGTTGTGAAAACGCTATTCACCCTGGCTTTATGTGATAATGACTATGCTCCTCCCCTTCATGACACTGTCAAAAAGTGACCAAGCATGTATGTCATTACATTTATGCTCCGCCCTGAAAAAATTCCTGCTGACGCCCATGGGTTTATGCTTTGTACACAGTGAACTCGTGGAATGTTTTACGGATATGGAAAATACACAGAAAACAATGCTCCTGAAACAAGCAGATATTGGTGACAGGAACTCTTGCAATATTATTAATATTTTTTGGATTCTTGAAGAAATTGACATGCATAATCTCAAAAAAAGATTACACTGGATTTTTTTCGAGGTGGTAAAGGGGTACTGTAGTGCCAGGAATACAAAGCCGTATTCCCCCTCCCCTCATGCGCCCCTTTCCATGGTAAATAAAGGGTTAAAAATCTGTATTTACTTTTTTATAAAGTTTATTTACTTACCTTTTTATAAAGGTTAAGCATTAGATATCTGGACGAGTGGGGTCTAATGTGCATGCGTGGCAAATGCCGCACGCGCATTAGACCTCCCCATAAGAAAGCATTAAATCACTTATTTCCTTTGAGGAAAAATCTGACGCTGGAGGTCCTCTTGCAGAGCTTGAGGACATCCAGCGTCAGATACCGGACCAAAGATTTGTTTCAATTCAGGTAGCCCTCTACTGGCTGTCTGGTAGACAGCCATTGTGGGCAGACGTAGAGCTGCATTGTAAACATTGCAGCACTAAGGGCAAAAGGGACAAAGCACCCAGACTACTTCAATTTGCTGAAGTGGTCTGGGTGCCTACATTGTCCCTTTAAGTAAGATCAAAGCCTTTGTCTGTCAAAATTTTAGTGCAGGATAAAAGTTATATGAAAATGTATTTTACTTGTTTGCTTATCTAATCCATTGCACTGGTGTAGACAATGCTCAGAAGAAACTGAAAAATTGGTATTTACTTAATCAGTTAAGCAATGAGCATGCAGAAGTTGAATATTTTTTTCCCATACCAGTTACCACTTTTTACCAGCCAGCATCTATTTGCTAAAACACCTGTCACTATTTTTAGCAAGCAGTAGCTGTTTACCATCTGCCAGTTTCACAAGTAGGGACCGGAAGTTACTGTCAGCCGCTACTAAAAGCCGGTTGCTAACAGCTCCCAAACCTGTCACCATTTTTTACTGGATGCAACTAAAACTCCAAATTGACTTACTTACAATTCACTGTCCCTCCTTTACCAAAAGCAAAATGCACTATTATCTAGTATTGTTGCTGTTTTGAAGGCATTCATTCTTCTCTATCATGGATTATTAAAAATAAATACATATGTAAATCTTTTTCTTGCTTAAGCTTATTGTTTTGTGCACTTTGAGCTGTAAACGGATCAGCAACAACAATAAAACCACTGACAGGTGAAATTAATGACATTTATTATATTGTTACAAGGGCTGGGATATATTAGGCAACAAGTGAACACTCAGTTCTTGAATTTCATGTGTTGGAAGCAAGAAAGATGAGTAATGAGTGCTTTTGGAAAGAGCCAAATAGTGATGGCTAGACAAATGGTTTAAAGCATTTCCAAAATGGCAAGTCTATTGAGGTGTTCCTGATATGCAAACATGTTCAAGGAAGGACAACCAGTTAGCCGTCGTCAAAGTCATGGGCGCTCAAGGCTAACATGCACGCGGGGAGTGAAGGCTAGACCGTCTGGTCTGATCACACAGAAGAGCTACTGTAGCTCAAATTTCTGAAAAGTGTCAGAACATCGCAGTTTTCAATGTCAGAGTACCTATGATGACAATGACAATTCAATGGGGATGTAAGTGTCGGAAGTGGTCCATGGAGCAATGATAGAAGGTTGTCTGACTTGATGAATCACGTTTTCTTTTACATCCGGTAGATGGCCGGTTGGGTGTGCATCATTTACATGGGGAAGAGATGGCAACTGGATGCTCTATGGGAA